AAAACTGGTGTGTAATAATTTAGTTGTTTTGATACACATTAAAATTGTTTCCTGATTTTGTGGAGTAATGGAGAGGCTCGACTAGGATGAGACTATTTATGTACCATTTTGTTTTATTACAGGTGCTGCTCCAGGTGATTCCTTGCAGTCTGAGTTGGTGTTGCTGGACGTCTGGGTGAAGGTGAAGGAAGATGGTTCACCTGCGTCGCAAGGTGCTTCACCTGTGTTGCAAGATGGTTCACCTGCCTCACCAGACAGTTCACCTGCCTCACCAGACAGTTCACCTGCCTCACCAGACAGTTCACCTGCCTCACCAGACAGTTCACCTGCCTCACCAGACAGTTCACCTGCCTCACCAGACAGTTCACCTGCCTCACCAGACAGTACCGTCGTCCACTTGGCGGCAAAGTTCTACAGTTTAAATATAATGACTCGCGAGTTAAACAAGAGGATGAATTCCGGCCAGAAGGAACACTTGATATATACAAAGATAATTAAAGAGCTCAACCAGTTCCAGGCAGACAGAGCCCCTGACGAGCCTGGAATATCCATTCCACATTTAATCTATGGACGATGTGCTGGTAATGAAAATGTTTTACTAATGGAAAACATTAAAATCCAGGGATACAACACTGTTGACAAGCGTAAGGGGCTGGATTTTGAGCATCTTAAGGTCTGTATAGAACACATTGCCAGACTTCACGCCCTTTCACATGCGTTCTATAGGGAGAAAGATTTCCGTAATAAATACCCTTGCTTTCAGTCCACTTCGGAGCACCTCAAGTTTCTTAAACCAGTATTAGATGCTATGCTAGATATTGCCATTGCATTTCTTAGGACTCTGAACGACAAGAAGGATGTCACACAGAGACTCGAAGCATGTAAACAGAGTTTATTAGATAAATATTCAGCAATACTGCTGGATGGAGAAAGTATCACGTGTTTAAATCATGGAGATTGTTGGATTAATAATATAATGTATAGATATAAGAGCCCATTGGCACGGACAAGCCATGTGGACTCGCAGGCAAACAATGAGGACTCGCAGACAAGCCAACATGACTCTCCAGCAAGTCATAAGGACTCACAAACACTTGCAAGCCATGAACAGTCATGGGCAACTCACAAGGACTCACAGGACGGCCACAACATCTCAAAGGCACCTGCAAGCCAGAGGGTCTCCCACGCCCATGAAAGCCATCAAGAAATCGATGCATTAAAAATCATTGACTGGGGTAACAGTACTTGGGGCAATCCGGTGTTTGATCTACAGTTTCTCCTCTACACGTCCACTACTCGCACCGTCAGGAACGCTCATCTAGATCACCTGCTGCGCCTCTACCATTCTACCTTCACTAAGCTTACTGCTAAGCTGGGCTCACCTGCTGCCAACTGGAGCTACGAACAATTTAAACTAGACTGGGACAGGACTTACACTGTAGGGTTCCTCTTCGGCAGTACTATGAGTTTAGGAACACTGAACACCAGTATTAATGTCAACAAAGCACCACAGCCTTCATGCCTAGACAAGCCTTTTCTCTTACCAGTCAAAGTGGTTGTTGATGGTATAAAGCTAGGAATGGTGAAGCTATTCCTTCCTTTATTTGAAAAGCCAAAATTTGGGAGAGTTCCTCCAAAAAAACATTTTCTCTACATATAAAAGATCATATTTTAAGGAACAACGTTTTTTTCCAGAAAAAATTATGAACAGGGAGATTTATTGACCAAATTTTTGTGAGGAAATGAGAAGGGGATTTTCTCCACAAAATTTCAGTCATAATTTAGTGAAAAAAGGGGACGATTTGTGCTCCCTGAAATCAAAACCCAAAATCAACCCACATTCACCTGGGCAGATTTAGCCCTTTGGGGGGGGGCCAGAGCACTTTTGGGGGGTTTTTGGGGGGGCCCTTTCAAAAGGGAAAATTTAAAAATTAATTACATATAAGCAATGAAACAAAAAATAAATTTGATAAACAGGGGTTTTCAAAAAAAAATATAACATAAGAAGACGCTGTTTTTAAATTTTTTCTCAGATTTATTGAGTTAAAAAATAACTTTGACTACAATTTTCGTTTGTAATAATTGCATTTACACTATTAATAATTCCCGATGGTTTTATATTTTTGGTTTCACTTTTTCGGTACTATCGAAATATATTTTTTATATAATAATTTACTAATGGCCGACCACCAAACCGGGCCCAACATTTAATTAAAATAAGAAATTTATAAACGGAAAAAATCAGAACCTTTAAACTTCAAGAAAAAAATTTGATTCAATCTTCTTTTTGTAAAAAAAAACCCTTTTTAAGAGAGATTCACTTATAATGGCCAAACAGACTTCTTTCACCTTTTTTATTAATTTTATTTTAAAAATTTCCCCTTGGGAAATTTTAAACAACACATCCAATATTAATTTGTTAGGGGGGTTTACCCCCCAGGACACTTTAGTAACTTCTACAACACCATCAAAAATTATGGTGGTACACCTCCAGGACATTTTAGTAAAATCTTTAACAAACCCCACATATTAGGGTGGCCCCCTCCGGGGACCCTTTAGTAACTTCATACAACCCATCATAATTAGGGTGGTACACCTCCGGGACCCCTTTTAACACATAAAACCCACCACCATAATTATGGGGGTACACCCCAGGACATTTTAGTAAATTAAAACAACACCACCCAAATTTTGGTGGTACACCTCCGGCCCAAAATAGACAAAAATTGTGCAACTCGGGGAAATTTTTATTGAGGAAAAACGTTCCCCAATTTCCCAAGAGTTGCACATTGCCCCTAATTTATCAAATGTGGGTTTTCTAACCTTTTCATCTAAAAACCTCCAGGACATTTAGTATCCCATACAACCCCATTATAATTATGGTGGTACACCTCCGGGACACGTAGAAACATCATACAACCCCAAATTAAATTTAAATGGTGGTCCCACCCCGGGACATTTTTAGTAACATATAAAAACACCATTAAAATTTAATGGGGGGTACACCTCCAGGACACTTTAGTATCATCATACAACCCTTTTTTAAAATTTAAATGGTGGTACACCTCCGGGAAACACTTTGGGTATAAATCATAAAACACCTTTAAAATTTAATGGGGTTTACACCCCCCGGACTTTTTAATTCCCTCATACAACCCCAAAATTTAAAAAGGGTGGTACCCCTCCGGGGAACCACTTTAGTAACATCTTTAAAAACACCATTTAATTTTTGGTGGTACACCCCCAAACACTTTAAAACTAATCCCAGAAAAAAACAAAATTTTATGGTGGTACACCCCAGGCCTTTAGAATCATCATACAACCCCATTAAATTATGGGGTCACCCTCCGGGGAAAATTTTAGTATCTTTTAAAACACCTTTAAAAATTTATGGTGGCCCCCACCGGGGCATTTAAGTAACATCATACAACACCATTATAATTAGGGTGGACCCCTAAAAACCCCTTTTAGTATCATCATAAAAGCACCATCTAATTATAATATATAAAAAAACCTTTATTTCAAATCTTTGGAAATGAATTCTGGGAAAAGTACAGAAAATAGGGGAAACCCCTTTTAAAAGGGATAAAAAGAATCAAAGGAGATAGAACAACTTTAAAAGAAAAATTTTGTCCCAATAAAAAAAAATTCATGTCGATGAAAAGAAATTTTTAAAAATAAATTTTTTTGGGAAGTATAAAATGGAAAGAAATGTATAAAAAGTTAAAAAGTAAGAATAACAAGTATAAGTTACAGGCAAAAATAACACAAGTATATTTTTGCCGGTAAAATAAAAACAAAAATATGTTCCTGGCTAAGATAACACAAATATATTTAACTTGGGTAAGATAACCAAAAATATGTTGCCTGGCTAAGATAACCAAGTATATGTTGCCCGGCTAAGATAACCCCAAATAATGTTACATGGCTTTAAAATAAAACAAAATACATGTTCCTGGCTAAGATAAAAAAAACAAGTATATTTACATGGTTAAAAAAATAAAAACAAGAAAATGTAAACCCTTTGGGTAAGATAACACAAGTATATGTTTGGGCCCGGCCCAAGATAACACAAGTAATGTTCCTGCTAAAAATTTAAAACAAAATAAAAGTTTTTTGGCTAAGATAACACAAAGTTTTGTTGCCTGGGAAGATAAAACAAGTAATGTTGCCTGGCCCAAGAATTTCACAAGGGATAAAGAAAATTGGCTAAGAAAACCCCAAGTATATGCTGCCTGGCTAAGGGTAACACAAGTAAATGGGTTCCCGGGTAAGATAACACAAGTTTTATGTTTTTCCTGGCTAAGAAACACAAGAAAATGTTGCCTGGTAAATAAAACAAGTATATGTTGCCTGGCTAAGAAACACAAGTATAGGGAAATTGGCAAAGAAAACACAAGTAAATGTTGCCTGGCCAAGAAACACCCTATATGTAACTTATCTTTAAAAAAACACAAGTAAAAAGGGTGCCCGGCTAAATTTAAAAAAAGTATATTTAAATTGGCTAAAATAACACAAATATATGTTCTACTAAAAATAACCACGTAATGGTTTCTTGGGTAAACAAGAAATGTAACTTGGGTAAGATAACCAATTTTTGTTACTCGGCTAAGGGCAACACAAACATAAAGTTGCCCTAAAAATAACACAATTTTTGTTTTCCTGGTAAAAACACAAGTATTTGTTGCCCGCTAAGGGTAAAAAAGTATATGTTACTTTTGGGTTTAAAATAACAAAGTATATGTTTCCTGGCAAGATAACACAAGTATTTTTGCCTGGGTAAGATAACAAAAAATATATGTTGCCTGGCAAGATAACACAAAATAAATGTTTTTTTGGCTAAATAACACCCGGTTAAAATGTTTTCTTTTTAAGATAACATGTATATGTGGGCCTTTTAAGTAAACACAAGCATAAGTTGCCCGGTAAGATAACAATATATCTTTAGTAAATAGTTTAAACCCTTTACCAGTAAACCAGTGTACCAGGGAGATGACTTTATACCAAAACCTTTTTCTGCCTGAGTCACTGCTTTAATTTAAAATTTTGGGGTGACCACAGCATTTTTCAAAAAACCCCCTCAAAATGGGTTTCTGTGGGCGGCCAGTCAGTTATACGAGGGGTGAACAAGGAGATAGGGAGGCTGTTGGGGGCTCCCCACATTATCTGTAATTATACGTACTACCAGCCTACATGAGTATTATTTTTACCCTATCCACGTATCGAACTCCCACATGATAAATGGTGGCACCGGTGTGGAGCGTGGATTGAAGTTTTTACGAGTAATTCAAGTTTTTAGAAGACTGTTTGTGAGTAGCCGGCAGGGGTCAAAGGTAACCCGTCTCACCCACTCCAGCTACTCGCTCCCCTCACTCACCACTCCAGCCTGCAAGCCTGTTGCAGCCTTTTTTTTTCAAGCTTCCTGGCTTAGTTCGTGTGCTAATTGCTTCAATCCTCTGAGGGGTTGACCCGGATTTTGCAATTAAGCCAGTCAGTAAGCCAACTGTGGAAGTGAATGGGCCCGTCAGCCTATCATCCAGCCTGTCTCCTTTCATCCACCTGCTCCTCCGTGCTGTGTGCATCGTTACACGTCTACCAGTCAGTATTCTCGGGGGGTTAAGCCAGTCAGCCAACCCCGCTCTAACCCAGCTGAGAGAGAGAAGTAAGCCACACAGTAAGAAGGGAAGCCAAGTTCCCCTGAATAAATTTTTATATCGCTTTGTGCTCCCAGTTGGATGTAAGCATGGTTTTCCCATTCCTGTGGCATAGTGGCTTATCAAGCCACCTTCGTGGGTTTGAGTGGAGTGCTTTGCCAGAGCGCCAGCGGAGAGTCCCTCACCACCGCTAACACTCTCCCTCACCAAACCCACCACCAAACACCAACCACCAGCCCACCTCCTCATCTCCCTGTGGCTGCTTGCACCCTTGTACGGTCCTAATACATGTTTTGGCTCACGCGCCGACGATAAGCCAATTATGTGAGTTGTCGAGAAAGAAAAAAAAAAAACAACCAGAATAAAACAAAACGCATTTCTTCCGACAACATTGAGTGTAGGAGGCGTCACTGTCATCACCGACGCAGACAACCTTCGACAACCTACCTCATCACCAGTACATCACGTCGACTACTACAGACTTCAGCGTAATTTTCGTTTAGAGACATTTTGCTTGACATTTAAAGAAATTTGCGTGTGTGAGACATAGTGAATTTCTTGTGTACTCTAAACCTTGTGTTTTCAGCGTAGACTCAGTGTTTCTTTGAATCGTTATTTTTGCAATAGTTTTCAGATGGTTTTCGCTCATCTTATATTTATTTTATCTGTGTTTTTTTTATTTACTACTCCTCTGTTTGTAGTAGTATTAATTGTGTAGTGTACAGTCAGTCACTCTGTGTGAAGTGATTCATTTTTTTATCGTGCATTCTTTCAGCGTTGTATTTCAGTAATTGTCATTGTATTTCAGTCAGTGATATTCACCCCAGTATACCAAATTATCCATTTATTTCTGTGGTGTCTTTTTTCGTATGCCAGCAGTGTCTCATTCTCTCTAATTTTTTTCGCAGGACTGTACTCCCCCTTATTAAGCCCCCCCGCCCCCAATTTATTGTCGTATCAGTAACAAGCAAGATTGTGTTTGTAAGAATATACTAAATTATTGTAT